AGCACAATTTCTATGTTTCTCGCTACAAAAATAAAATTGACACAGGAAAACTTGGATTTCTAAAACTGATGATTATTCTCTGTAGAGGAAGATTCTTTACTTTATCCATGATACCTCTCCAGGTGATGAGCTCCCTTCCTTGTTCTAGACATTATTCCATTTACAACTGACTTAGTAGAACTCAGGTCTTGTCCTCCCCACTCTTGGGAATACTCCTCAAGGGCCCAGGGGCTTTAGCCCTGACTAAGAGGCTTGCTGCTGGTCTTACCTGGTCAAACAGACTCAAGCCCAGGACAGGGAGGGAGGTGTAGACCAGGTTGTAGAAAGTGATAAACCAGGTATCATAAACAGTCTAGGAGAATACCAAGGAGATTTCTTAGATTCCTCTCTTTTCTAAAGTCCCAGCTCTACCTCCCAGGTTCAAGAGAGGCCCTTCTGGCCCCCACCTACCCATCACTACACTAACCTAGGGCAGGATTTGGATTTCAGAAATCTGACAGAGAAGGCTGACCCCCATCTCTATTTGGTCCTACTCTAGTTAGAACCCTGGGTCCCAGGCTGGGGCAAGGCCACATCAAGCTTGTTTGTGGCCAACGCTACAAGGTTGATTTGGACCAACCCTACCATGACCTGCACTGCCCGTCCTTGCACAGAAAAGATCCAGAGTGCCTGCTAGGGAATGCTAGCTCTACCCCTGCACTCTCAGGCGTGTAAGCCTCTGGGTTCTTTTATCTGATTTATGGCATTCAGTAGCTTCTATAACACTGGACATTTTCTAACATTGGTAAGTAGAATAGACTCAGTGACCCTTTCCTAGCTGGGTGCTCCATCCTGGGGCCCACAGAGGGCTCCTTTACTAGCCACAAGGGGTCAGCAAAACACACACATATGCATACACCTCTCACAAACTAAAATGGCTTTGTTACACACCGGGGGTATATAAGTCTACTGCTTTCCGCTGAACAGTCTGTTTCCCCCAGAGCCCAAGGCAACAAAAGTAGTAGGTATTTCCCAATATAATCATTCCTGAGGTTGTTTTTCTTGGGAATCTGAGAACCCTGAAAAACTTCTCATAGGAAAAGGGATTCCTCGTAGAACATCAAAATCCAGATGCCACTTTTTCCCACTACTGTCGGGGAGATTTCATACTCAAATGTGGAATTAATTCATTACAGCAACAACAGTGTATGTTTGGGGCAGGGAGAAGGGGTGTTGGGGTGGGGAAGTAGAAGTAAGGGAAACTGTGTCTGAAGTATGGCTACAGGTAAACACGATAGCTAGCCTGTCTGGCAAAACTCAGAGGCCCCTTGAGGCTTAGCCTGCTCCATAAAAATTGTTTTGGATGCTAAAAAAACCTCCTAGGTCCAAGCATTTCCCCATATTATTTATGTTTGGAAACTAGGTCTCCATGTCAGGTAAAAAGTGAAAATATCTTATGGGAGAGTTTTGGAGGTAGGAGTCAAGTTCAAGTCAGAGCCAAGGCAGAAAAGTTAGGGTTTGGAAATCTAAGGTTAAATGTAAGGTTAGGAGATGGGATCAGCATGGGTGAGGACCTTTATGCTTAACCGACTGAGCAACCCAGGTGCCCCCATGTGAGGAGCTTTATGGATGGATGGCAATATGTCATACACTGGTCTCTAGAAAAGAAAAAGGGTCTGAGATGGCTGAAGTGGGGGTGAGTAAAGAAGACCCAGCTGACCAGAGTGCGGAATACCACCTGATCTCCTACCTGTGCAGAGAACCCACTGAAGAAGGCATACCAGAAGTGCACCAGGGTGAAGGCAAAGTTTTTGTAAAAGAAGTAGCTGAGAAACTTGCACATGCGATTATAGGACCAGCGGCCATGGACCAAGAGTAGACGCTGAAGATAGTGGAACTGGGAGAAGGCGTAGTCACTGTTGAGCATGGCCTGCATTCCCTCCTGGCCGCTGATGCCAACCCCAATGTGGGCAGCTGCAAAGAAATCCCAGAAGCTTCTCAACCACAGAGCTTGTCTGCTGGGCTCCCAGCCTGGGAAGTGTAAAAGAAAGGCTGAGATCATGTTGTACAAACCCCCTATTTTACATTGGGAAACACTGCCCAGCTCAAAATGGCATATACAATTAGTGGAGCCTTTTCTCTTGAGTGGATTGCCCTTTTCCTTAGTGGATTGTCAGAAAACAGCTCCTTCATCTGCACTTTTTTTTGGATGTTGCCACTCTGGAATGCCTGTCATGGCTAGTACTAGAAAGCTATCCTGGATGGTCTTTGTACCTGCTATAGCCATCTAGGCTCTTTCCTGCTCTCTAGATGCTGAGGTAAAAATTTCTTGTTATCTTTTGAAGCCACTTACATCAATTAAATATGCAGGATGGATGTCAATCTAACATAATATTTAATTACCGAAGTTTATCTAAAGAGCTAAAATCCAAGTGTTAGGAGGAAATAAGTGATGTACATACTTTGTTAGTGAGAAGCAAGTTCTTCAAGAGGCCTAACATGACTTTTTCTGGATAAAACAAGGATTATACTTGATGGAAAGTAAGACCGAAGTTCCTAAATGTTTTAATTAGCCTGTTGTAGTATACGGTAAATTCATTGATCTTCTGGTATATACCTATTGCAATGCTTAATGGAATAGTTGAAACCCCTAAGGCCCTAAAAACCAGAGAAGTTCTAGAAAGTGAGGAAAAGAGCAAGAACACTTTCTACTATTAAAGGCGAGGGTAGAATGTCTGCTAGTGTTTCCTGGATGGGGAGAGAGGTTGGACTACAGGACCTCTAGATGTTGTCCATATTTCATAGAACCACAAGTTGCTAGAAGCTAACAACATTCAGCTGAAATTAAAACTAGTTTCAGCCATTTGCTTCTATTGGTCCAAAGCATTAGTAAGTCGGCTATTCTCCTCCAGCCAGGGGAGTCAGGGCAAGTTCTCATGAACACTGCCTCAGGGGAGAAGAGATCCTTACATTGTGCCTCACAGCTAATTCCCTGGTTGAGCAGTCCTGTCTTCTGCCTAACATTGCTCAGGCATACAGTCTTCAAAAAAGGAACAGACTATGACTCTTGCCCAGGGTTTTTTTATGTAGGCTTTGATACCATCTTGGAAAGATGGTATGGTAGTTGCATGGCCTGTTCTGTGAATATATGCATATGTTCTTATTCCCATAAGAATAAGGCATATTTGTGTGTGTGTGTGTTAAGTGCATGAAGTTGAATTGTGTGTCTGCATAGGGACTGATGTATACAGGTGTAAATAAGTGGGAATGCAGGTATAGAGGAGCATGAATGAGGTTGTAAAACATTATAAATGTACAATACATATGATATGCAGGAGTGTGAACCAACAACACAGTGCCACCCAGGTTGGTTTTTGCCCATGGAGGAAGGAAAGGGCAAGCCTTTGGTTGGAGGTTACTGTCCCCCATCCCTCACATGCCTTTGATCATGCTGACATCATTGGCCCCATCCCCGATGGCCAGCGTCACCACCTTCTTGTACCTCTTCACCAGCTCTACCACTTGGGCCTTCTGAAGGGGTGTCATTCGGCAGCAGATTACCCCCTTGCACATGCACGCTGTTCGCAGCAGTTCCAACTCCAGGTTCCCTTCTAGAGCATAGGCCTGCAGTACCAGGACACACCCACATTTCAGGTTGCCCAAAAAGGCTCTCAGGACAGGATCTTCCTAGACCCTTCCCCATATCCATACTCTCCTGTACTATATAGGTCAGGCAGTGGCTCCCAGGTGCTCCACTCCCAAGGGAGGCTAAGTCCCCAAGTCAGTGCTAGGCATCCTCATATCTGATCCAGCCTCCAATGGGAAACTGGTCAGCCTCTCTCACTGGGTCAAATAAGTTAACTGGGCTATAACGCCAAGTGACTTTTTAGAGGACCTGGTTCTGTTTGCTTTCGCTCTTCCCCTAACTGATAGGCCACATCAGTAGTGAAGAATTTGGATAAGGAAGGAACATGCCCTTGGTTTCTCTTTCGTTATTCCTGCCTAGAGAAAGGTAGGGAGAAGTGTCTGTCAGGAAAGGGCACCAGAAGAGAGGGGAAAAAGGTGACTCATGAAATAGACAAGGGGTCTTAAAATTTCCCTGAAGCGGGCTGGACCTAGGAAAAAAATTCCTTGGGAGAAAAGAATAGAGTTGTAGCTCTGTGTTGCCCACCAGACTGTAGCCATTGATGATCAAGCCATAGTTGCCATTGGGCACCTCCTCAGGCACTCTGAAGGGCATATGGGGCTTCGTGGTGAGGTAAGTGTTTACTGGGTCTGATTCCAGTAGAGACTCAGGTTTCATCTTGACCCTTGCTGACCTGAAAGCCAAGAGTAGTAGTTAATGTCTGACTGAAAGCCCCAGAGCTTAGGAAAGTAAAAGTGTCCCAGAATGAAAGTGGGCAAGGTAGACACAGAGCCTCTACAAAGCCCCAGCCAGCATCTCAAACTCGGCTGCCTCCTGAGAAATGCCATTGTCTCAGGTCCCTGACCGTCCACACACCACACTTCTCCAACTCCTTGAGCCCTAAAGCTTCTTCACAAAATTATCTCAAATATTTTAGGTTTTTTTGTTTTCCCCTTCTGCATTTCTTCTTTGTTCCTTCTGACAGTGTGGGGGTCATACTAAATGAAGAGCTGTGGCAGTTCTCCCATCTGTACCTGAGTTCTTGCCGAACAGTCTCATCATTCTTGCCTTCCACGATGAACATCCCATCCATTTCATCCTCAAATATGTTGCAGGCATAGGCAATGTTTACAGCAGTCTCTGCAGGGAAGGGGGAACACTGGCCACATTTTGGCTGGGACAGGGTCTTTACAAAAGTGTATACATACATAGGCACTAAGGGTGGGCGGCAGAGCCCATTTGTCCACACTGGCCATGCATGCAGTCAAAGTATGTTTTTCATGAGTCAGTGGAGACCATATTCAAACACACAGGAACGGTCAGCCTAGTACAGACTTGTGAGTTACTTATCAATAACTAGGATCATTCTGGCTTCGTCTTTCTTTTTCTTTCATTTTTTAACATGGAACACTTCACGAATTTGCATGGCATCCTTGTGCAGGGGCCATGCTAACCTTCTGCGTATCATTCCAATTTTAGTATATGTGCCGCTGAAGCCCGCACCATTCTGCTGTAGCCTTCCAACAGGGCCTTCCCCTATTTCCTAAAACAACTCCACTCTGTATCCACTTCTCCAAACAGTCAGCATGTATTTCCCTGTGCCTGCTTTTATGCCAGATTTTATGGGGGACTGGGATATGTTTTGGTTATGGCCTTTTCTTTACATCAAGAACTCTGGAATTTGGGGCGCCTGGGTGGCTCAGTTGGTTAAGCGACTGCCTTCGGCTCAGGTCATGGTCCCGGAGTCCTGGGATGGAGTCCCGCATCGGGCTCCCAGCTCAGCGGGGAGCCTGCTTCTCCCTCTGACTCTCTCCCCTCTCATGCTGTTTCTCTCTCTCTCTCTCTCTCAAATAAATAAAATCTTTTAAAAAAAAAATAAAAAAAAAAAAAAGAACTCTGGAATTTGGACTAAATTCATACTAAGGAAAAAAATTTACAAAAATTAAATCCTGAACCCTCACTGCAAGTGGTATCAAAATTCAGAGGAGAGATTGCATAGAAAGTCACAGAAACTTTCTTGGGAGAAGACTCTGAAGGATGAGTAAGACTCGTTTAGGGGAAGGAAAAAACATTTCAAATGGGTAAACAACCCAAACAGAGGCCCTAGAGTAGGAACTGGATTGTTTGGGACACTAAAGATAACGGTCACATCAGGATGCTATATGTAAGTAGCAACAGATTATCAAGAACTCAGACAGTGGAGTCTGACTTTACCACATAAAGTGTCTGAAGGTTTCTGAGCAGAGGAATAACATATAAAAGTAGTATATTTTGGTAAGATTAAGCTGATAGTTGTAAGTAGGCTATACTGAAATCAATAAGGACAAGAGACAGCGATCAGAAGTTTTTTGCAGAAGTACAATCAACAGGGGACAAAGGTTGAACTAGGGTGGTGGCATAGTCAAGGGCATCTTCAGAAGACTTGGTGGGACACGGTGAGATATGAATCTTTGGGACAACAGAGAGGGTATAGTCAAAGGTAATTCCAAAGTTTTTAGCTTGTGGGTTCCTGGATGACAGGGGTCATGTCTGATTGAATCATCTCTGTGTCCCCACTGCCTAATACAGAATCCAGCATAAAATATACTCTTAGAAAACTGTGTACAAGACTAGGAGTGAAGGTGTCCTGTAAGGACTTGACCTGGATTATAAGGTATTTGTCAAATAAATGGCTAAGGAAAAAAGAAGATGCAAAATAAAAGAAATGGCTAAGGTGGACAGAGAAGAGGACTGGTCAAGTGAGGAGCTCCCCCTTACCTTGCTTATCTCCAGTTAAGACCCACATCTTAATTTTGGCTTTGTTCAGGGTGGTGATTGTCTCAGGTACACCATCCTGCAGCTTGTCTTCTATGGCTGTGGCCCCTAACAGCTTTGAACAGAGAGAGCAGTGAGTGAGGAACAGGGGAATGTCACAGCATTTATTGCTACCCAACAACTCAATGGGCACCTCATCATCCTCTTTAGGAAGCTGGCTCTGTCCTGACATGAGGATCCAAATGCTATAAAATTTAGCACCCTCTGCCTCTCAACAGATGCAGGTTTTCAACCACATAAAGCAAATTTAGACACAGAATGTTAGGGATCAAAGAGGGAAAAGACTTGCCCAAGTCATACATGAAGCTGTGTGCCACTTCTAAACCATCTGCTTCTCAACATACTTTCACTGCTCTTTTGCTTCACAGCACACTTCCTGGCTTTCCAGTGCTGATCATAGGGATGGGCACCAGGACTCAGTCTGAGGAACTGACAGATGGACAAACAATTGGCTGATTTCTGCTCGGCCTCCAGAAGGACAGACTAGAAATACTAACCACAGAACTGATGATGGAAGGAGATGTGTGACCTTTGGAATCTCTGTTTTCCCATTTGGTATCAGCAATGTCTCTTTTAATAGCGGAGCCAGCCTGTGTCAGTCTGATCAAAAACTTTGGGGTCATTCTTAACTTCTCTTTCTCTCATATCCTATAATCTAATATATTAGCAAATTCTGTTGGCTCTACCTTTAAAAAATGTACAGAATTTGACGACTCCTCACCACTTCCACTACTTCTATCTGGTCCAAGCCATCATCATCTCTCACCTGCACTATTACAACTATCTTCTAATTTGTCTCCCTGGGTCTGTCCTTGCTCCCCTATAGTATAATCTCAACACAGCAGCTGGAGTGATTGTTTTAAAAGCCATCACATCAGGGTGCCTGGGTGGCCCAGTCAGTTGGGCGTCTGACTCTTGATTTTGGCTCAGGTCGTGATCACAGGGTCCTGGGATCGAGCCCCACATCTGGCTTTGCACTCAGAGCAGAGTCTGCTTGTCCTTCTCCCTCTGCTCCTCCCCTACTCGCACTCTCTCTCTCTCTCAAATAAATAAATAATAAACAAACAAACAAGTAAGTCTTTTTTAAAAGAGCTATCACATCACTTCTTTGGTTGAATTCTTCAATGGCTTTCCATACCTCATTGTAAGTACTTATACTGGCTTATGAGGGCACTCAACTACTTCTCTGTCTCATGTCCTTTTATTCTCTCCTCCTCACTTACACTGTATCAGCCACACTAGCTGACTTGCTGTTCAACTAACAAGTTAGGCCTACTCCTGTTTCAGGGCTTCCACTCATGCCATTCCCTCTGTCTGGAAAGTTAATTCCCCAGAGATCTGTTTGGCTTGCCACCTTCTTCAGGTTTCTGCTCAGACTAAGTGAAGACTAAGTACCCTATATAAAATAGTAACTATACTCTGCCCTCTCCAAAACATTCATGCATATGCTGATAACTCCTTAGCTTTCTCCCTGGCTTTATTTTCTCCCATACCACGTTCATTATCTAACATACTATACATGTTACTTTTTTGTCTGTTTTGTCTGCTGCTACATGCTCAGGGCTTAATACATGCCTGGCACATAGAAGGCACTTAATAAATATGTTGAATAAATGAGTGAATATTTCCATCAATTAGTTCTGGATTATCTAATCTGTGTATTATTCAGATCCTCATTTTTCCCAGATTACTTAGCTTCTGTGAGAGCTTTGGGATAAAATTTATAACTAGTGCATTCCCTCCTCCCCGCGCCCCCCCACATGATTTATGGATTTCAAAGATCCAGGACATCCTGAATCAGCTTGGATTCCAGTATCCTGTATCCGGAGAGCCTGAACCTATTGATTTGCTGGAAGCCACTTTCAGAGACCTTGCTCAGTCTGCTGACTGCAACCCCCAATCCTGCCCCCAGTCTGTTCCTGGCTTCCTCACACTAACCATCAAGTCTTTTTCTATCTCTTCATAGACATCTGATATTTTATCTTCCCGATTTTCCAAAGACAGGCAGGCTTCACTGTGCTTCTTGCTCCAGGTCTGGTAGAATGCATTATCCAGTTCTCGGTAGGCCACCATGAGGGTGCGGAGGCCTTCAACAGCAAAATCCTGGAAGACATGTGTGTACGCTGAGTAGGCCTGGGCTGGGTGAGGGCTGAGTTTAGGAAGGGGCAGACTGACCCCACCGACCCATTTGCCTGCAAAATAGGATTTAATGATTAGTACCATGGGGCTAGTACCTAGCTTAACCACAAAACAACCATCGAGCTTTCTCAGCAAAATGTCCTAAAGGTGGGGCCAGCATAGCTGAGGGCAAAGTTTGAAAGTGCTTCTGAAATATAGAAAGTTCTAGCTTTTACCTATAGTTAGATAATTTGCTGTGTGACCCTGGGAAAAATTAAGGCTTCTAGATTTCTTTGTTGTAAAATTGGGATAATAATTCACTGCTTACAGAGAGGATAATGATGTCTGTAATATGAGAATGGAATACTAAAGTAAAAAGGAGTTGTTATAAAACATAATCAAAGGACTTACTATTTTCTACAAGCATACATTCATTTTTAAAAAAAGATTTTATTTATTTATTTGATAGAGAGAGAGATAGCAAGAGCAGGAACACAAGCAGGGGGAGCGGGAGAGGGAGAAGCAGGCTCCCCTGCTGAACAGGGAGCCTGACCAGGACCCTGGGATCATGACCAGAGCCGAAGGCAGACACTTAACTGACTGAGCCACCCAGGCGCCCCATATATTCATTTTATTTTCCTCTTTCCCTACCTTCCTTCAAGCATCCAACAGGCCCCTCAAAAGCACACACACTTGTATATTTGTCTACAGCTGATTGGCTCAGTTGATTAGCCACAGCCAACTGTGTTAGTGAGGCACTACGGAAATGCTCTCTGGGTGAGCTAGCATCTTTTTGCTCTGTGACCACCAGTATATCCCAACTAACCACAGTTAACTATCTTGTAAAGTATACTCTTGGTCATAAGGAGAGCTGGGTGAGAGTGTGGGTAGTTTAGGGCAGAACTCATATCCAACTGAGGGTGAGTTAGAAGATTTTATGTCCTGAGAACTGCACATGAATAAATATTCTACGTGATCACTGTTATAGTGAGCTTCAAAATAATTCACTTTGGCATTATAAGAGCAAAGAGAAAAAGAATTTTATCATCCTGATATTCTGCTCTTAGTTCCCTGTGAAACTCCTCAGTGTTTGACATTAGTTGTCAGGTGAAATGAACATAAAACAATATATGTATGGAATGCCATCTCTTAAAACTCTGTACTGTTAGCAGATGAAGCTATGAAAAGAAGCCTGAGAGAAGATCTCAGAGACTTCTTAGAAGGAAGAGATATGACAGAAACTGATCTTGCATAGGATATTAAACAAGGTTTAACACACTGACAGATTCTTAATTCATTCAACAAATAATTTAGCAGTCTGTGGTTGAAGTTATTTCTTACTTACCCCTTACTTGTGTTTTTTTCTTTTCTATTGTGGTGAGCAAATCCTGACTGCTGCTTGTTTTTATATGACCTGTTTGCTGATTCCTGTCTTAGAGGGCCTAGAGCTGTGCTTTTTGTAAGAGTTTTTGAATCTTGACTCCTGAGTGTGAGCTTCACTCTTACAAGTTTATCATCTGTGGTTAACAGATTGTAGTGTAGTCAGGCTTTATTATGGGTGTCTGTTAAGG